AAGATCGGCGGTTCGAATCCCCGCGACGGGGTGACCTCCCGTTGCTCGGTCCCTGCTCCTGCCAACCTAGCAGTTCGTAAGCACGCCAGTGCAAGTAGATAAATAGGTACCGCTCCAGCGGGAAGGTAAACGCCGTTTCCGTGTGCTTCTCTGGTTTGCCAGAAGTGGCTTAGTCATGCTGGCGACATGACCCGGAAGCGGTACGCCGGCTCCCTCGGCCTATAGAGTGAGTTGAGAGCAGCAACCCCAGAGTCGGCCACAACTGGACCTAATGGTCAAGGGTCCCTTTACCTTTACCTAAACAAGCTATATCTTAGGGCCCCACTCTCTTGGGGGCCCCCAAAAAAATTAAAGGAAAAAACCTGGATGTACATTTCCAAAATATAAGATAAAAATAATAATAGAATAAAACCTACATACAGCAACAGTGTTTTGTGTTGTGTAGGCTCCTCTGATGTAAGTAATGGCCCCCGCCTGATAGCCTGCTTTCTAAAATATCACTGGTTTGCTCATTTGTATATCAATTACTTTGATAAAATACATATTTTGTTATGTGCAAATGGCTTTAGATACCTGTTAGGTCCATAAATTACCATATAGCACAGGCTTCCTCAACCTCGGCCCTCCAGATGTTTTTGGCCTACAACTCCCATGATCCCTAGCTAGCGGGACCAGTGGTCAGGGATGATGTAGTCACAAAACATCAGGAGGGCCGAGTTTGAGGAAGCCTGATATAGCAGATATTCAACACAAAATACAGTGACAATTTGTTGTTGACAAAGGACAGCTGGACATATACAGTGGTACCTCGGGTTAAGTACTTAATTTGTTCCAGAGGTCCGTTCTTGACCTGAAACTGTTCTTAACCTGAAGCACCACTTTAGCTAATGGGGCCTCCTGCTGCCGCCGTGCCGCGGAACACGATTTCTGTTCTCATTCTGAAGCAAAGTTCTTAACCTGAAGCACTATTTCTGGGTTATGGGAGTCTGTAACCTGAAGCGTATGCAACCTGAAGCATATGTAACCCGAGGTACCACTGTAAAGGGTTCCATTACCTTCAGTAGCTTAGGGCTTCATCAAACCTAAATCCGGTCCTGTCTGCAAGGACCACAAGACCAGCAGAGAGTCTCCTGCCCCCTGGCAGTGCTATAATTTCCAGCTTGCACAGATCAGATGTGTCCAATGAGGATTCCCGGTTTGCATTTCTTGCTTCTTCCAGGTTAAGTTGTCCCACTGAGGGTGCGGTGCTCAAATCCTTCAGGAAACGCAGTACCAGAAAAGGATTCTTACGTGCCTAAAGTTGTGCATATCCTGATTTATACTTGCAGATGAAACAATTGCGAAAATTTAAACAAAAACGCAAAAGCTTTCCCCACTGGGACCACGTGGCCTGGGAACTTGCTCAGGCTGCAGCAATCCAGGGGAATAATGGGCAACTTCAAAGACCCCACTGCCATTTTTCAACAGTTCTTTATCTTTAAACCAGACTTGGACAAGACAGTTCTCCAAGCAGAGGACTGGCCTCTGCAAAATAAGACACACAGCCCCCTACTCAGGGCCAGATTGAGACCTTTAGAGGCCCTTTTAAGCGCACACAAAATATTACGATGCCCATCAGATGCAATTTAAAATAAAAACAATGCTAAACCCTAAAATAAAATAAAAAATTCAGAACAGTATTTTTTTTATGTATATCAGTAGAGTGTCTCCTTGTTTAGGTAGCGATAAATAATAAAAAGAGAACAGAAAAAGGGAGTGTAAGGATGTCTAAAAAGTTCTGAATTTTTCCATGAAACCTCCTTAAAAAATTTTTTAATCAAATGTTAAATTCTTTCTTTCTTTCCCCTTTTTGTGCCCCTGCTTAAATGATGCCCCAGTGATAATCCAGCATTCCCGGCAGATGGTACCACGAGCCATTAATGCCTCGAAGGCCACACACATGCAGAGAGACAATTTTCAGCTTGCACCCCTTCCATCCAGAATGGAACCCTCTCTTCCACTCCCCTGCCTCTGGCTGCCATGAAGTAGTGATCCTGTAAGCAAGCATCACTGGGTGGGGCCCCTCAGGCAGGTGGTAACAATTAGTCCCCAAAGTGGGGGCATGTGATGGGGCTGGCTGGTTGCCAGCATTCCCCAGCATCCCTATAAATCTTCGAGTTAACCTGCCGGGGGAGGGAGAGAACACACCGTGTTTTAGACTTGCCGTTTGATGTTGTGTAGCTGGTGCCAGAGAAGAAGCCAATAAAGCCTGGTAATCCGTTTGGTGCCTGCGTGCAATTGATTAGTAGCTCGGAGGGAGGACTCGGGAAAGCGAAGCCCTCCTTGATATTGGCAAGTCACGAAAAGGAGAGGGGAGAGAATGGTTAGTCTTGCCAGGCTGAAGCAGGCTGCAAGTTTCAGGGAGAATAGAAGGTACCTGTACACTCCTGAAGCCATCAGGAGGACTCCAGGCCCCAGAGGCCTCGTCGAAGCATAACTGACCCATTAAAAATGGATTCGCTTCAGATGTCCAGCAAACGTCCTCTTAATTAATCCATCTTAACAGACCAATTACAGATTGGACTTGGGGACTCTGCCCATCACTACCCTTGCCAGCAGCCTGACACATCGGAAGTTAGCAAGGGCCATCACTTATCTCCATGCCGGGAAAAGCTTCAGCTACTTAATTCCTGTCATTAAATGCACAGGAGCAGTGAAATGGTATTTTATGTATTATTGTGATGCATGCTGGGCTCCCTTTGGAGAGGAAGGGTGAATTATGTCTTTTCTCTCAAGCAGGTCCTTCATCGAACGCCTTCCAGTACCTGCTAAAAACATTTTTGCTTAGGCAAGCCGATTCAGACATGTAGAATGTCAACATGTGCTTTAATATGGTTTATCATTGATTTTAGTTATTTTTGAATGTTTCGATTGTTTTTTACTTATAATATTATTGCTTTCTTTTTAAGTAAACCACTTTGAGGTTTTATTGCTATCAAGCAGTATATTAATCTGGTGAAATAAAAAAAAAGTAGACTAAAGAGATTCTAAACTGAGACAATGGTAGCTTGTTAAGAAGAACTATTCATCTAGTCATGGCTTAAATATGCCTTGGTGACATCTTCAACAGCCACACATATTATGCTGAGGAATTAACGTCAACTACAGGAATGCAAACAATAATGCAGACGTTGGATGCAATTAATAAGAAAAAGATAAAGGTAAAGGTAAAGGGATCCCTGACCATTAGGTCCAGTCGTGGACGACTCTGGGGTTGCGGCGCTCATCTTGCTTTATTGGCTGAGGGAGATTGCACAAAAAGATAGATTGCACAATTTTAAATTATTGTAACTCAACCTGGGACCTCAAGGTGAAGGGCAGGAAAAGAATCTTAACAACAACAACAACAACAACAAACAAACAAACAACTAGTATTATTATTGCAAAATTCAATGCTGGGCATTTGACAGGAAGTGACATCTAATGACAAAGTTCACAGGGTACAAACTTCTTTCTACCCTGAAACTGAAAAGAAAATGTGAAAGGAAGCAACTTTTAAAAAATGTGTTTGGATTACAAATAGCTGAAAGATTCGGTGATGAATAATGCCACGTTTTTTTAATTCCCTTTTGTTTTCAAAGAACAATGTGGCAGTCTCAATAGGAGAGGAAATTGCCTTGAAGTTTAACAAATTGAAAAGCACTCTAAATACGTTACTTAATCATTTTCTTCTTCTTGCACATTAAAGACGATTTCTCCCTCTACTGCAGCCCCCTGCCCACCTGCCTCTGGGGCTTCCAAGTATAAAAGTTGCGAGTTTAAAAGTTTCATCACACTGTTGTCCTCATCATATTTCAGCATGCAGCTGCAAGAATAAACTCGGCTACCATATTGGTATCTGTGGTATAGCTGGGCTGGGGAACCTGTTTTCTTTGAGATATTGCTGGACTCCAGCTTCCATCAGCCCCATTCAGCATGGCCAAAGGTCAGGGATGATGGGAGCTGTAGTATAGCAACACCGGGAGGGTCACCCAGTCTCCCCCTCTCCATGCTACAAATACAGAGACAGGAAAAGTTTAGAAAAACAACTACCAGACTTTTAGAAGACATCTGAAGGCAGCCCTGTTTAGGGAAGCTTTTAATGTTTAATAGGTTATTGTATTTTAGTGTTTTGTTGGAAGCCGCCCAGAATGACTGGGGAAACCCAGCCAGATGGGCGGGGTATAAATAAATAATGATAATGATAATGATAAATTATTATTATTATTATTATTATTATTATTATTATTATTATTATTAGAGTGACACACAACCTTGGGTACCTGTTTCTTCCCCCAGAGCATAATAGGGAACTGCCTGCAGAAAACTATGGAAATATGCAGGATTTTACCATAGCTGTGATTGAGCAGTAGCATACCCTTCCCCTCAAACAAAAATTCAGAAAAAAATTAACTGATGTTTTCCATTGAAAACATAGGTTTTATTCATTTATTTTTGGGCCGGAGAGAAAATGAAGCTCAAACCAATGGAGTAATTTAGAACCGCTTTGGATGTCATTTATGTTTATAACACAAAGAGTAATAATGTTATCAGATCAGTTACAAAACACTCCTCCGCGATTGCTTCATAAAACCCGGTGGCGTCTCCCTTCCTGGAGCTTGAGTGGGTGAACTCCTCCGTTGTTCTGAAGTACAAATTGATCATCTATTAGTTTGCATTCATTCTACCGGCCACTCATGCACCCCACAATCAGCAGGTCAGTGGGAGATTTGCCATTGACTTCAGTGGCACGCAGATCGTTGCATGTTCACACTGTGCTCAAATCCTTCATAAGTGGCTTCAGGGTGGCAGCTTTAGGCACAGTAAACAGCCTCACACCAAGTCAGAACACAGCGTCATCTGGTTCTGCAGGTTCCACAGGGACCGCTGAGTTCTGCATTACATTATCCAGCTGCTGTTGGTTCCTACTCAGAACCGAAACTCGGTGAAATTATCCTTCTTCTGTGATGCAGTCTGCATCTGTCCTTGTGGCACAATGGGCCGGCGTGTCTGGCTGTTAACCAGAAGGTTGGTGGTTCAAGCCCACCAAGGGGCAGCTGTGGGCAGGATTCCTGCACCGCACTGCAGGGGGTTGGACTGACCATCAGGGTCCCTTCCCCCATCCTGTGATTCAAGCTAAAAGCATGAAGGTCCATAACCAAGTGGTAGATCTGCACATGCTTTGTTCATAGCTCAAATCCTAGCAAATTTGGTTAAGTGGATCTTTGGTCTGAGATCTCTTCCCAAGGCCTTGCAAAATAATAAAGTACAGTTGTCGCTTGGGTTGCGAACGTGATCTGTGCAGGATGCACGTTAACGACCCACAGCAGTGCGTCTGCGCAAGCGCAGGTTGCGATTTGGTGCTTCTGCGCATAGGCAAAGCGTGATTTAGCGCTTCTGCACATGCGCGACTGCCAAAACCCGGAAGTAATCCGTTCCGGTACTTTCAGGTTTCGGCTGTCCGCAACCCAAAAAAACACAACCTGAAGCTTCTGTAACCCGAGGTATGACTGTACCGGACTAAATGGCTCAGTAAAAGGCAACTTCAAAAGATGAGTGAATGGGCAGTTTTTCTTCCCATTCCTTCCTTCCTGGGTGAAATAATCCAATGACTGTCAAGGTCCAAATGGCCAAGAGGTTATCTTTTGCTTTCTCAGATTGTTGTAGGAGAATGGACATATGATGTATGCCTTCTTCACCATATGCAACACTGTCTAAGAGTTCCGTGTGACTCAAAGCTCTGCATAGTCATTTCTGTCTGCCAGGTATACCACTTTACCTGTTTCTGCCGCTGTTATTTTATGGAACCAAGGTGACGAAAACTGTCTGCATAGAATTTTGCTTGGGGAAGAATTACCTACCCGCCATGTATGGTGCAGGCTGTTTACTAGATTGGCGAGCTAAGGGGAAATTCAGTGTAGGAATTCAGGCTTGACCTGGGAATGAAAATAGTAGCTGAGCTTTATTCTGGGTGCTGCTGGGAGACAATGATATGAGCACAGCTTCTCAGGGGCAGAGATTACTGCAAACTGACATTCCTAATTTTCCGAAATAGGAAGGCTGCCACCTCATTAAAGGGAACACTGTGTTATTAGTCTCTTGGCACCGTACCAGCTGTGGGAAATGCAGTGAGCATTTCCCTGTGACCAGGGGAAAGAAGCTGAAAAGAGGCTGTCAGAAGATTATTTCTTGAGGGAGGTAGTAGCGGGAGGGAGAGAGGAGCTTTTCAACATTCCTGAAACAATAACTTGACATGAAAGCCTCAAGAGTTTTGCAAACTCTACAAGCTGCACTGTGCTGTGTCATTTTACCCTCTGTGATTCTAATCCACAAAGCCTCCCCCCTCCAAAATGAAAACCCCAAACCCTTCCTCTCCTCCAGCTGCTGAAGAATTCAAACCATTTTGGTCGATGGTGTTATGCTTAAAGAAAGGAGGGGAAAAACATCCTAACAAACAAAAAGCGGTGATTATAATAAAACACCCTGAAGTTTGCTGGAATTCGACTTCACATGCTTTGTAGAAGACACACAAATGCAATCTTCTCTCGTTCTACATGTCAGTTTCCCTTGTGGGGGCAGTGAAGGCTAAAGTGGGGAGGGGGAGAGAGGCAGCTTTTAGTCTTTTCTTCTTCTTCTTCTTTTGTGATTCTTTCAAACATTTCAATAGTTATCTCCCAGTCCGCAGCAGGAAACTAATCCCCTCCTTCTATCCTCCTTGTTTAAAGCAACCCAACAGCAACGATGGAAGAGAGATGAGTGAATAATATAGTCTTTGAAGGGTTTTGTTGTTGTTCTTTCAACTGACTGGGAAAGTTCTGATTCTCTTACTTGGGGCAGTTCAGTTGTCCTCCAGCTCCTCTGGTTACTGGGCTGGGTTGTCTACATTCAGACTCGAACCATTAAGTGCCAATGCTGTACGGGACAAACTGAAGGATGCCATTTCCCCCTTTCCCACATATCGGCTCCTTCATTTAAATCAACCTCTTTATCATCAGGGAAGTAGCAGAGCCATTGGAAGAACTTGAGAAAAAGCTCCAGCATTCTTAACATGTGTTAATTGGCATGTCATACACCTTGTTTCCATTTCACGTGAAGGATTACTTGCAAATGGAATGGATCTGAAATGAATGGCTTTGTTCCATCAGTGTGTGTGCTGCCCTTTTCAGAAGAAACAACTAATCTTAAAGATGCATTGTGTCTATTAGGGCTTACAACCTAACATTATCTAATTAGTCATGATATGTCATCCATCATCGTACAATCCTCTTCCCAGGACCAGCCAGAACAGGCTTCAGCTAAACAAAAACAAAAAAACCGAACAAAACCCCTAATACCAATAGGATTAAAAGTTAGCAGGATCATAAGAATCACTTCCCACATTTAATTGGGTCATCTAGCACCTGCAGAATTTGGCCCCATTTTTTTTTTTTTAAGGGGCGACTGAAGCTTCGGGAATGAGCAAATCAAGTAGCCATGGCAACCGAGACTTTGCAAAATTCATTGTCTTCATGCTAGAGAGAGTTTAATTTTCTTTGTGTTTCTACTGAAAGCATCCTACACTGCTTTAATTGATCATTAATAATTACAGCAACAGTGGTAGAGCTGTGCTGCTAATTAGTTAAAAAATATCAATTAAGAAACAGAAAATTACAAGGGCCTGGGTTTAAAAATGCCAGTCAGAGATCCGATGGTATGAAAGGTCAGAAACTGGATGATAGAGACTTTGCCTTTGGGGGGGGGGTCACAGGATGCTGATGCTCTCTGTCATGGGGGCTATTTGTTGCTACTTCTATTCATTGCAGCCAGACAGGAAATATGGTCTGCAGCACCCATCTGAGAACATCCACCAGGCACATCCATAGCTGAACACCCAACGGAATTGCTACTATCATCTTTATGGCCTGGCCACATGATTAAGCTTCTGCTACCATAGATGCGGGCGGCACTGTGGTCTAAACCACAGAGCCTAGGACTTGCCAATCAGAAGGTTGGTGGTTCGAATCCCCGTGACGGGGTGAGCTCCCATTGCTCGGTCCAAGCTCCTGCCAACCTAGCTGTTTGAAAGCACATCAAAGTGCAAGTAGATAAATAGGTACCGCTCCAGCGGGAAGGTAAACGGCGTTTCCGTGCACTGCTCTGGTATGCCAGAAGCGGCTTAGTCATGCTGGCCACATGATCTGGAAGCTGTATGACGGCTCCCTCGGCCTATAGAGCGAGATGAGCGCCACAACCACAGAGTTGTCTGTGACTGGACCTAACGGTCAGGGGTCCCTTTACCTGTACCATAGATGTGGGATGCAAAACAAGAGGAAGTAGGAGTTCTTATTGTAAAGAAAGATGAGATAGAGAAGTTCTATGGTGTAGAGCAGGACTTTCCAAACTTGGGTCTCCAATTGCTTTTGGACTACAACTCCCATCAGTCCTAGCTAGCAGTACCAGTAGTCGAGGATGATGGGAATTGTAGTCGGAAAACAACCAGAGACCCAAGTTTGGGGAAACAAGGTGTAGAGAAAGTGGAAAGGAGAAGCTCCCCCCTGTTGTAGTACTAGGGTCCTCCATTGAAACTGAATGGTGGAAGATTCAGGACAGACAAAAAAAGCACTTCTTCACCCAGCACACCATCTTGGATGGCTTTAAAATACCATCAGACAAATTCATGGCTATGTTCTGCCTCTGCTGTCAGAGGCAGCATGTCTCAATAACAGTTGCTGGGAAGAGCACTGTCCTATTACACTAGGCATAGGCAAACTCGGCCCAACAGATGTTTTGGGACTACAACTCCCATCATCCCTAGCTAACAGGACCAGTGGTCAGGGATGATGGGAATTGTAGTCCCAAAACATCTGGAGGGCTGAGTTTGCCTATGCCTGGTCATATTCATGTCATGCATCTGGTTGGCCAGTGTGAGAACAGGAAACTGGAGAAGATGATCCTTTGGTCTGATCCAGCAACGCTCTTGGTCTGCACTGTCCATCAGAAGAGAAGAGACAGCAGGTGAATCACAGCCTAGGACTTTGGCCAAGAAGCCATTAATATACTTTGTTTTACAGCTTGGTTCAAGACCTGACAAGGATCTCTAGCCTTGACATTTGCTATTTTTCTTCCTTAAAAGATGAGCTTCATGGCATTCCTGCCACCGGGGAGGATTATGCAAAACCAAAACGTTATTCCCTCAAGCCGTGCAAGCCAAGTCTTTGCCACCATGGTGCAAGGCCAGCTAATTGCATAAGTCCTAATTACACTCTGGCAACTTGGGAAATCTTAATTCCTTTTTGAAGAGAAAGAGCTAAATGGAGGGGAAATGGAATTACTAAATATTTCTAGATTGAATTAGGCTCCACGTTTCCGAGCGTCTCCAAGAATTCAGCCCGCATGCCTATATCCATGGCTCCTGGAACTTCACTGCATGTTGTGTTTAGGGCTGGAGAAGAGACATAGCTCAGTGGCAAAACACAGGCTCCATATGCAGGAAGTCCCCCAAATCTCTAGTCAAAAAAGATCAGTGAAGGGAAAGACCCTTACCTGGAAACTTGTCACTAGTCACAGCAGAGAATACTGGACCAGTTAGACCAGACTCGATGCAACTGCCTTCTCTCAAGGCTCCTCAAGATGTTCTGCTTATTGAGGCTTTGCTTGCACAAAGTTTACATGGAGATTCAATGATCTCTGGCCTTTATTGAGCATTTATTCTGATTTGTTTGGAGGGAGGCTATGCGATAATGAGAATTAGTCCTGGATTCATCCTGATTGACTTGTGGGATGTTTATATATCTTCCCATTACTCACACTTCTCATTGCATCTCCCCATCACTTTCCTAACCTCAACAGATCAGTTGGGTGGGGGTGGGGGGTGGATATGTTGTGTTAGGGTGAATTGACTCTTTAATGTAGTTCAGTTGCACAAATATCTTATTTGTGCTTGAATCCCTCCCACAAAATACTGACAGTCTAAAAACAACCTCACATAGGCTGATGTTGCTGTGTCTGTTTTATACAGTGGTACCTCGGGTTACATACGCTTCAGGTTACAGACTCCACTAACCCAGAAATAGTGCT